TCCGGTATTGTAAAATTGATTTTTTATACGTTGCACACCGTGTGAAAAATCAGTCAATAACATCAACGTTCTTACCTCGACTAACGCTAATGATTTTAATAACCTGTACTTTCCGGATTCAGGTTTCCCTTGGCGGCACTCATATAATCACACTAATTTGTGCCTCCGACTTTTTATGCAACCAAATATTAAATAATATATAGCGATAGTAAATAGCATTAAGATAAATTTTAAAAGCTTATCTATAATTGCTTATTTGTAGACAATCACATCATAGACATCTTATTTCACAGGCAATTAATTCATCAACATATGATATTTTACAAAAGATTAATTTATAGACAAATTTATTTTATAGAAAGTTCTTTTCACCAATAGCTCAAATCATAGTCATTATTGTTAGGGTTAGGGAACTGACACTTGTTACGTAAATATAACCCCCCTCCAGAGTCAGCCATTTGACAATTACAAGTTCTAAAGTAATCATAGTGTAAACTTTGTATGATTGGTTATTTTAGAGCTTGCAATTGTCAAACGATTAACTATTTTGTAATTATATCAAATGACTGACTCTGAGGGGTTATATTTACGTAATATGTGTTAACTCCCTTAGGACCAGAACTAAATATCTACTAAGCGACCTTGTCTGTGAATTGATGGTAAAATAAACATGTTGAAGGTGATAGTGCCTATACAGAGGCTAATTTTCTCATGCTTAATAATAATTGGAATTTTTTTATAATTTGACTATATCAAATATCAAGAGTGACTATTTAGTTTTTCTGGACGTTTTAAACAATAAGCCCTGATTGGGTATAAATCACACTTTTATCACATGAGATTTGTATTGTTTGTACCGATACTTTGGGTTCGTTCGTTAATTGTCTACATAACCTTTGGGGTTCATTAATTGTCTGCGTTTATTAATTGTCTACATGGTATTTTATGTTCATTAATTGCCTACACTAGCCTGAAATCGCATTAAAAATTTACACTGTTTAAAGTACCGGGTACTTTATATTCTACAATTGTAGGGGCACGTACAGTACATATAGCTGTAAAGAGCAGATGTATTGTTTAAAATAGGGGATATAATACCAAAATCATTTGCCACAAAGCTAGGGGTATTTAAACAATCGTTATACGGTAAAAAATGAAAACCTGGAATCTTTATTAGATAAGATTCCAGATTTTCATTTGTGGATCAGTGTTACATTAATTACATCATATATAATATATATATATGTCTGAATTCACACGAACTTTCTAACCTTTTTTTTTTCACGCAGTATAAATATTTTCATTTTTTTGGTTCGTTTGAAATGAGTTCGTTTAATGTTATATCTACTGCATCCAAGTCACATACACCCTTGGCTCCGATATCTTCGGCGCCCAAATTGTACAATACAAAACTTCGTCATATGCATATTCTTGACACGCTAGCTTTTGACGCGTTGAAAGCAAGAATTGCGGTTTTTCAACTATATCTTGCTCAGAATAATCCAAGTAACGATTCATTAAGTGCTTCTAAAAAACAGGCAAAAAAAACATGGGAGCAATTTGAAAGTATGAATCTTTTTTCAAGAGCACAATTTTTTTTCATTTCTTGTTCATACTACGTATTATGTATGGCGTCACTAAACCAGCATATATATCTTTTTTATATAATAGATGCTAAACACAATTTGTTAACCAGTGACCTTTTTATAGAAATTTCGAGTTTTGATATTTTTTTAAAAGATCTTGTTAGTTCAATAGTGCACCGTTGCAATCTTGCAACCTTTTCTCATATAATGTTTCAGCAATTGATCCCAACCCTTGAAACTCTTTATATTGCAACGGATTCATTTAAATACATCATGCCTGAGAACTGGAATTTTGTTGAATGGGAATTGAATCTGGACCTTAAGACACAAGTTAGTATCATTATTATTATTATTTTCATACCATCATGCGTATGACTAATTCTTCTTTATAATTATAGTTATATATCCGTGCATCAAATTTTTCCAAAGACAGTTATCTGGATAAGATTTTTCCGCCTAATGCTGAACAACCGTCAAGGCGTCTTAATCAATATTTAGAGAGAAGAGATGTGGTATTTAATTATAATTATTATAATTTAGATTTTTTTTTTGCACATTATGGTTGTATATATAATTAATCGTTTTTTTGTTTTTTTAACCCAAGTTGGCAAACAATGATTTCAACACTTTATCTTCAAAATACCCTTGTAAAAAATTCATGAGCAACTTTTTTGATTATATATGCAATCTTTCGGAAAAGTTTGATTTCCCGATAATCGTTTTGGTAAGCAGGTTGATTAAATAAATTCAATTGTAGTTTATGATATGATATGATCAATTTATATGTAATAATTGAAATTAGGAGACTAAAGACGTTCTAAGTTCTCAAATGGAACATAGCCCTGAAAGTTCACAGGTTACAACACAAGATCACAATATTGAGAATGATTATGGCACGCCTTTTATCGATCAATCAGATGGTTTAATAAGGCCAACGTATTTATCATTTTATATTTTATTTTTTGACATTTGCTAAATGTAATTTACATATAACTCATTTCCTTTATTATTCATGCTACAAGTATCCGATCGAATAAGTATGCCGATTCATTTCGTAAATTTCATAAATTCTCTGAGCAAGAATTAAATCAACAATTAGAACAATTCAAAAATAGGTAAATTTATTTAATAGTTTTAAGATATTTACGAAATTTTTTGATTATAAATAAATAAACATTATTTCCTTTTCAAGTGCGACTGATGATCATGAAATAACTGTTCAATCTACTGACATGGAGCAGGATGGTTTTACATCGATGGATCCATTAATAGGTTCTTCATCCAATGTCATAAGTAACATAAGTAACATAAGTAACAAAAGCCCGTCAAAATCAAAATCAGTTGTTGAGACTGTTGAAAGACAATCGCCGATAATTGAAAGACAATCGCCGATAATTGAAAGACAATCGTCGTTAATTGAAAGACAATCGTCAATAATTACGGCTCCTGAGTCACCAGAAATTCCACATGATGATGATGACATGATTATTGACTCTGTTGAAACGGATAAAAATGATTCACCTAAGAAGCGAAAATCAGGGGCATTACGACAAGGTGGTTGGACTCAGAGAGAACTAAATTTCCTTATTAAAGGAATGGAGAAGTATGGAACTAGCTGGTCAAAGATAGAAAGAAAATATGGAAACTCTGGAGGTCCGCTTAGTAGGCGAACACAAGTGAACATGAAAGACAAAGCTCGATCAGAATTAGATCGACGATTAAGGTGTGGATTATCACCTGGAGTATTTAGTCAAGTCAGGTAAAAAAAAAATTGATGCTATTTAGTTATACAAGGCCTACCGAAAATTGATTGTGGGTGCAATTTTTTGAACTCAATTAATTGATTGGATCAATTAATTGATTGGAATTAATTGCAATTTTTTGAACTCAATTAATTGATTGGATCAATTAATTGATTGGAATTAATTGCAAATTTTTGAACTCAATTAATTGATTGGAATTAATTGGAATTTTACGTAATTAACTTATCATAAATTCGTCGTCAATGTTATTTATTACTATAAATACATGTGGTTTTTAATTTTTCGCTGTTTAAAAAAATCGTGTCACACCACACTGTATGCAGCTCTCTACAGGTATAATGAAAGAAAATTGAATTTAACCGCAATTAATTGGGTTTCAATTTAATTTTATGTTAATTTTAATTGATTATAATTACATATACGTATGACAAAATTTAATTGCAATTAATTTTTCGGTAGGCCTGGTTTATACGTTGTTTAGATTTAAAAAAAAAATTAATACTAATGTTTTTTGAAATTAGTGCGCATGCTAAAACTCCGAAAAGAACAAGGAAAACCCCGCAAGAAGAGAATGATTAGTAGAACTATACTTGCCGTTCCAATCGCAAACCATTACAGCTTGGGCTTGTCCATGCCCAAATCCCAACTCTGGCCAAACTAATCTCTAAGCAAAAAAATATATTCTTTAGTTATATGGAATCTATTTTGCAAGATATCAACTACATTTTTTCATTTAAATTTTTTTATAAATAGCCAATTGCTTTTTTTTGAGATTGGGTTTTGCCTACAAGTAAAATTTTGGACATCTGAATTAAATTGCAAAAGATTTATTCACACAAGTGAATAAGTAGTAGGTTAAATCAAGAATTTATTCATTTTAACATTGTTTGGGATATTTGAATTAGTTTGGCAAAGGGTTGATTTTTGCGCAAAGGGTTGATTATTGCAAAGGGTTGGTGTTTGCAAAGGGTTGATTTATTGTAGGAATTTAATAAAGCATCGCATTACATTTAATTAGATTCGTTTAGCATGAATTGAAATGATTAAAATGTTTATATGAATAATATGAATAATATGAAATTATTAAGCAAAAAAATTAACTTTTCGAAGAACTTCCAACACCATTGTCAACTTCATCGTGGTTTAGATTGACCCAATTCTCAATTGAAGAATCAGTTTCTCCTTCATATCCACTATTACCATTTTCGGTTTTCTCATCAATATGAAAATAATCTTCCCATTTCTCAACTAAAAGTTTGAAGTGTTGCAGGATAACAGGTCCCACTTCCTTGGTTAATGCTTTCACAAACTGTGCATTAACAATAAACGTTCCTAATCCACAAAAAATAAACACATATTTCCAAGGCACGATCCATACTGTCAAACTAGCCACTATTAAAACCACTATTACAACCTGCGTTATCATCAACGTCTCATATTCATTGCTCCAATCAATATGCTTAAGCAAATCAACCACTACATCATAACCATCCGAAATCAATCCCATTAGATTCTGAATATTTTGCATATTTTTCATATAATCAACCGAATTCTCTGCCGGAAGATAATTATTTAATTGCTTGAATCGTTTAAATTTAATACGAATCTTTTTTTTTGCTTGTGATTCATTAGGAAAATTATAAATGAGAATAGCAAGGAAAGCTACCAATGGAGCGAGAATTAACAATTGTGGATATAGACCTATGGTAAATGAAAAAAAATAAATTTATTATTGTTACGATTATTATTATAAAATAAAAATAAATTATTAATCAAGAAAATTAAAAAAAAAAAAAAATTTACATATGTAAACGTAAATAACCATGGCTAATAATGTATCCGGTGGATTTTTCCATAAAAATATATCTTCAGCAAAATCTTGAATAACGAAAATGAAACCACATTTTTGAACAAATTTTCTAAAATTATCACCAAGTAATTTTATATTTAAAGGAGGATGAGTAGAATCTGAAGGCATTTTTTTAGCAGAATTTGAAACATTTAAAGCTGAAGAAACTAAAAGATCTTGAATTATTTTTGTATCAAATGGTGTTTTTATTGGAGATATAGGTCTTGCGGCTTGAGGCGGTATTGAATCAACTGAATTAGCACGTCTTAATTTGGTAGCTAGTTTATGTCCTTTTGATTTATTTGAATTATTTTTATCATTATCATCGTTTGAATCAGAATCAATCATGTTTTAAAAATTGTATAATAATATTGCTCGAATTTTCTAAAAAATCGTAATGATGAAAAAAAAAATTATACTCGATTGAGGTTTTTCAAGTATCGATGTAAATTATGTCGCGTGTAACTGCAGTTCATATGTAGCACAGTGTGTATGGAATGTCAATTTTAATTGGTCTTTTTAATAAAAAATGCCGATTTAATTACGTATTAAATCAAAAAAATTTCCTTTCAAATACGTAAATATATATAATTTTTATGCCAAAATATACGTATCAATATTTCTTAAAGAGGATTTTCTTTTTAAACTATTATAACGTAACAGTTCAATTATTGCCTACTTTATACATATACATTAAATCAATTTGGCGTATTTAATCTCCAGATACGTATCAATATCAGCATAGCGGGCTTTCATTTTGATTGGCTAATTTTTGTAGATCATTTTGTGACGTTTCAAGATCTGATTGGCTAATA